CCAAAGAGATGCACAAGAACACTGCCAGATCCCACCCTTTACCAATGCTTGACCATAGGTGGCCTTTTGAAAAAATGGCCCTGGTAAATGGAATAAACCCCATCTAAACCAGGGCCCTCTATTTTGTAAGCAAACCAACCAAAAAAGGACACCTATGTGCTTGACACTGTGTAGCGGCTGGTGCGACTGAATAGAAGCGTTGGCTGTGAACCATTCTGCCTCTCTGGTTTTGAGCAGCTTGACCTTGCCCTAGGCCTATCAACCACACGCACGGTGCCAAGAACAAGTTTATCCCTTCTGCAAAGCTTCCGCGACACACACATTTCGAAAGACATAATCCTTGTTCGTTCCCTTGCACAATGAATGGAGGAACGAGACACCAGAACCTCTAGAGACGTGTGAGACCAACATAGGCGTCTAAATGGGCGTGTCTTACAATTAGGGGGATCCCAAAACGGGCGGCTTTCTTTGGCTTGAACAAATGACACTCCCTATAATATCCTGTCGGCGAATTGGGCAAACTCGGCCCCCTGCAAAGTCCGGGAGCATCTGACCGGCCGCAAGCACCCAGGAGGACAACCTGGGGATCAGACGCGTGCGCCGTGGGCTTGGCGATAGATGTCCTTGAGCTTGCATGATGTTTCGACTCAAAAAGGAAACCCCCAAAAGCAGGTGGGGTTTACGTGATGACGCAAAGTCTCAAGCAGCGCCTGCAAAAAACAGCACATCTTATCTGACAGTACACAAACTGCAAATACTCGCACGCGCCAGGGAAGGGAAAGGATGGCTTCCATCTGGCTGTCTGAAGACTGACTCCGGGTTTGACGAAGGCCGAAGGCGCTTGATTGAAATCGCCGTGAAGTCGATGAGCAAGATGAACTGCAGGAGCAGTGCCTGGGCTCGAAGAGTCGTCGATGGCATTTTCGGAAGCAGACCAAGATGCTTTCAGCGTGCCTACTGAGTCAAGGAACTCCCAAGCAAATACTTGTAAGCCATGTCAGGGGCACCCCCTCTTCGGAGGCTTTGGAGACAACCATTCTTTCCTTTGAGAAAGCTGTAGCGGGGTGTCCCTGTCTCAGGTTTGGGTTTTGGGGGTCTCAAAATCTGTTGTTTTCTCATCCAGGAACAGCTGGTGAGGTCGAAAGGAGTTCTACACATAAGATTTGGTCACAGCACATTTGGGTGGCTCGTCTTGGGGGAACCCTCTTTTGGTTGGCTTTGAAGGGAAACCCAAAAGAAAAACTGCCTCCCGCCATTTTGGGGGTTCCCCCAGAAAAGACACACCCATTTGGACAGTTGCCAAGGCAATTGTCATGGATGGGGAATTCCAGGGACTCCGACCGTGCATATATTTTGCAGCCCGAACCAACATGTCAACTGGGGCCTGCCTGGCTGCGGGAATCTGGCCATATGGAACGGGGGAGACATGCGCGTTCGGACAGCGAGGCCCCGACCATCATGGAGAGGATCTCATAGGCCTGGCTAATGTCGTTTGCCTGGCCGGGAGAAGGCGAACCCGCACTCTCTCTCTCTCTCTCTCTCTCTCTCTCTCTCTCTCACTGCTGCATGCCAGGACGAAGCGAAAGCCCCGCAGAATGGGCAATCAAAAGCACCGTCACGCGGGTGGAGCTTTGGTTCTTGAGTACGTGGCCCACTGGAAGTCATGCCTGCGCAATGCCTCATGGAAGGTGAGGTCGAATTGGAAGCCTTTGACCAGAGAAGCCAAGCGCCGCCATTTGTCAAAGTCAGCCCCAAAGCGAGAAAGGACGGTAAAAAACAGGTACCCAACATGGAACGGTGGTGGAAACATAGACTGGTCCATATCCGGGCGGGGACCAAGTTTGACCCACACCCAAAAGATGACCCCAGAAACAAAAAGGGATAATCTCGCTTCGTGAGTTCCCGGACTTTAAACTTCTCGGTACGACCATTTTGGGTGGCAAACAAAAAGGTTTGGAAACTTTCTGGCCAAGCCACTCAGCAGTCCAAAGCAGGGATCCTTACATTATGCGGTTTTGGGCCAACACGAAGTAGCCCAGGGAAGCAAATGAGATCACAAAGTGCCCACAGCACCCGGAAACACAACTCGGGTGAAGCTGTGGATGATGACCGGGTTGAGGATGTGACGGTAGAAGAGGAGAATGTTTGGGGAGGTTTGGAAACTAGTTGCAAAAGCAGAGAAGTCAATCAAGCCCAGGGAGACCTCGACGACCAACCACCTACCTCCTAACACCGGCGCCCCGCAGCCCCAACGGTTTTCACCTCGAGGTTGAAGGGAGCCGCTGTGTTATGGCGGGTGCGAGTGGGTCCGAAATTGCCCTGACGGGAGGTTGAAATCTTGAGCCAAACGGCCATTCGGCCGGTTTGCTTTATGAAGAAACAACACGTGAACAACACACACACCCCTCATCCGATATCTGGACGAGAGAAAGGATGCATGACAACCGGCTGTCTAAGCCGGGGTTGGCGCGCGCGGCACTGCCGCGATTGGCGTGGGCCTCATCGTCAACGAAGCCAGGTCCACGACGCGAAGCTCCGGGAGACGCCATTGCTTGAACGCGTAGGCTTAAGCGTAGGCGAGGGGAGCACGTAGCGGGTCACGTCCCGCAACCGGGCCACCAGCCCCAGCTTCTAGCTGGTACGGCTGCTGATAACCTGCGGTTTTGGGCGAACACGAAGTAGCCCAGGGAAGCAAATGAGATCACAAAGTGCCCACAGCACCCGGAAACACAACTCGGGTGAAGCTGTGGATGATGACCGGGTTGAGGATGTGACGGTAGAAGAGGAGAATGTTTGGGGAGGTTTGGAAACTAGTTGCAAAAGCAGAGAAGTCAATCAAGCCCAGGGAGACCTCGACGACCAACCACCTACCTCCTAACACCGGCGCCCCGCAGCCCCAACGGTTTTCACCTCGAGGTTGAAGGGAGCCGCTGTGTTATGGCGGGTGCGAGTGGGTCCGAAATTGCCCTGACGGGAGGTTGAAATCTTGAGCCAAACGGCCATTCGGCCGGTTTGCTTTATGAAAACAACACGTGAACAACACACACACCCCTCATCCGATATCTGGACGAGAGAAAGGATGCATGACAACCGGCTGTCTAAGCCGGGGTTGGCGCGCGCGGCACTGCCGCGATTGGCGTGGGCCTCATCGTCAACGAAGCCAGGTCCACGATGCGAAGCTCCGGGAGACGCCATTGCTTGAACGCGTAGGCTTAAGCGTAGGCGAGGGGAGCACGTAGCGGGTCACGTCCCGCAACCGGGCCACCAGCCCCAGCTTCTAGCTGGTACGGCTGCTGATAACCTGCGGTTTTGGGCGAACACGAAGTAGCCCAGGGAAGCAAATGAGATCACAAAGTGCCCACAGCACCCGGAAACACAACTCGGGTGAAGCTGTGGATGATGACCGGGTTGAGGATGTGACGGTAGAAGAGGAAAATGTTTGGGGAGGTTTGGAAACAAGTTGCAAAAGCAGAGAAGTCAATCAAGCCCAGGGAGACCTCGACGACCAACCACCTACCTCCTAACACCGGCGCCCCGCAGCCCCAACGGTTTTCACCTCGAGGTTGAAGGGAGCCGCCGTGTTATGGCGGGTGCGAGTGGGTCCGAAATTGCCCTGACGGGAGGTTGAAATCTTGAGCCAAACGGCCATTCGGCCGGTTTGCTTTATGAAGAAACAACACGTGAACAACACACACATTATACACCTGCATATTGCCTTGTACATGGTGGTGTCCCCTTATTTCGGCGGAAAAAGCCATGTTTCAACTGGTTGCAAAATGTATCTTTAAGGAGCCCTGCTTTCAAAGGTTCCACTGAACTGGGCGCATGGCAAGATGCCCAGGTCTCCCACCAAAAGTTCCCCGACTCCGAATCGAGCCCAGCGGCCTGCGCACAGCTAGAGCTCAAAAGCCCGTCATCGCTGCTCTGCAAGCACATGATGATGGGCTCCTCAGGTACAGCAGGATCCGAGGGCCGTTTTTCGGTGGGAGAGAACTTCCATTTGCGGTTTCGTCCACTGGAAGAAATGAGAACATATGTCCAGTGATAGATTGCATCTCTAAAACCAACAGGGAAAATGACAAAAATAGTCAGTTCAGCACATTGTGCAGCTTCAGTCAACATCACCGCACCCAGTCGGGTCCAAAGGGAAATCGAACACCTCTCGCGCCGGCCGGAAATTCGGAAATGCACCGAGCGAGCGGCCAGGAAGAACATGGCGATGAGCACCGCCGTCAAGAGCAAACTCACCTGGGCATCAGAGTTTTCAAGGCGGAAGCCCTTCATGGGAGGGGAGGGGAGGGGAGGGGAGGGGAGGGGAGGGGAGGGGAGGGGAGGGGCCCTTATTAGGACCCTTAATTTAGGGGCTTCTGTCGGGCCTTAATAAGGGCTCCCTCCCCCTCCCCTCCCTCCCCCCCCAGCCCCCATGACTTCGAGTCGGGGACTTGCCCGGATGATCCCTCGACAAGTTCCAAAACCACGGTATTCGACTACAAAAATGACCTCTCCGGCTCCGGGCACTCTGGCGCCGGCCAAATGCAACGAGTGTCGCACCAGAACATGGCTGGCTTCCCCGGGTGTCCTTTGGCACCATCTGGGCAGTCAACATTAAACCACCAGGATATGGACCGCAGGTTCTAGTTTCCATGTTTCCACTTACCAGGGGTACCGTTCCATTTCGGGGTTACCCTATTTTCGACCCACACCCATCTAAAGATCCCGAATCTTACTGGGGTCATTGTTTCGACGGTTTCTGGGGGGTTATCAAAGTCAGGACATGGGCCTGTTTCCCTCAACCCAATAGGGGGTGACTTGGCTGGGAAAATAATGAGGCCAGGCTTACACCAAAGACTCCAGACTCTGAGCGCTCAGGCGGCTTCCTGCCAGCTCTCGAACCATCTCCTGCGCGGCGTCGCGGGTATGAGAGGCTGCCTTGCGTCATTCACCCTTCACCAGATCACAGGGGCAAACCTCGATCATGTCTGAAACGACCCCCACTTGAGCTCGCGAAAATTTGTCCGGAATACATCCAACCAGGTGTTTCTGCCGCCAAAACAAAACAAGCAGAAGGTTCCGTGGCAGGAATCAGCTCGAAATTCCGCCTGTTTTGCGGACCTTGACATAATGCCACCATATTATGATGCCATGAATGCCCGATAATTCTACGAGCATATGTGACCTTTTGGAAAAATAGATGGCCAGTGTATTCAACTGGAACAAAACCAATCCAAGCAAGTGCCATCTATGTGAACCAAACTAACCTAAAAAAAAAGGACACCCATGGATACGAACACCACAAGAATCCGGGACAGCCATACACCGATATCCCGGAGATGTGCGTGTGTTGCTCACGTGGAATCTTACATCTTGGGGATCTCCCTGTGTTTGAAGAGAAAACTACGTAGGAAGCCGCCCATGTTGAAGGGCCCGCTTTCTTTGCTGGGAGTCCACTCGACTTGTTTGAATGGTCTACTTGGACGAAATCCATTTCACGGAAGCCCTGGTTTCGGATAATCCCCATTGTAAACATCAAGAAACGTTATGGTTTCAAACATGGTTTCATTTCGTGGTGCCTAAGCGGATTTCGCAACCATCCCCTGACTTAGCCAACTCCAAAAAGACCCCGACTCCCATTGCAGCTAGGGTTCCAATATACACCTGACTCATTTGACGGGTCTATTCTAGGGGACACTTCCCCATTCTGTCCGGGATCCTTCTTTTCAGAAAACCATCCAAAACCCAGGGAAACGATTTGCCGGTTTTTGAAAAGAACGATGGCGAAAAGAATGGCAAAGGAATCCACCCCTAGAGACGGGGGGCTTCTCAAAACTGATTTGGGTTTGAGGGTAGTTGGTCTCAGAATAGGAATCCCCCCCCGCGCTAGAACGGTTGCATTTGGGTCTATGTCAACCAACCCAACTCCACAGTCGTCGGCCAACGTCTTCGAGCGGATTGATCCTCGGCAGCTTCACGCCACCCAGGTTGGTCAGGTGCCCGCCCTTGATGGCCTGACGCGGCGGCGGTTTTTGGATTCGAGTAGACGTGGACCTGGAGAGATGTGTCTGGAGACCAAAATGGCTTCCAGCTGGGTGTCCCCAAAGAAGCTAAGGCCTCAAAACAAACACACAGAGAAAAAAGAAAAAGAAAAAGAAAAGAGAGAAAAACATGTCCTGTACATGGCACAGAAGGTCACCTGATACTGCCAAAACGACCGCCCTCCCTCCAACAATCATGAAAGTGGACAGGAGGGTTTTGCGAAGTGTACCATCCTAACAAGGCCTCTTGTCAGCGTTGATATTATTGAACAGAGGGTACCCAAAAATCAGAGACGCCTTCTTGCATAATTTTGCTTTGAAGGGAAACCCAAGAAAACCAAGCCAATCCTGCGGCCTGCTTTGCCTCTTCGAGAGACTTGTCTTGTTTTGGGTCGCCCATGGCTCACTTTGCGGAATGCCCTAGTGCTCTGCTTCATGCCTGATTTTGCCACACGTAATGAGGAAAACAACAGGGAACAACCCCGGTTGCCTTGTACACAATCTTCGTCCGCGTGTACAGCAGCTCCACCATGGAGAAGGTGTAAATCACGGACCTGGCGAGGATGGAAAGCCAAAGGCACATGCAGGTTGGCTCCTAACATGGACTGGCATGTCCAACATCCCAAGTACCCGTGTCGCCTTTTGCTTTGTACATGAATGCCCCAAGTAACCCTCAGTGACCTCTTACCCGGGCTGGTGAATTCGAATTCACCAGCAACCCCTCCGCTTTCCTGCTCCGAAGGCTTGGCAAGACATTGCCGTAGAATCGGATGAATTTCAGATGTCCTGACTCCCTAAGGTCCCCCAAATGCTCTCTCGTCTTTTCACCCAATACTCATGCTAAACCAGTGAATTCTCCCAGCTTTACACCAGTACTGGCAGTGCAAATCTGGAACAGGGGACTCTACCGAGTCATGTTTCAGGCGAGAAGTTGTTTGGGCGGGTACCTCACACTGGGAAATCCAACATGCACGTTGTCATCGAAGCAATCTATGCTCGCTGCACAAATGCCAGCAAATCGCGGCGCACCACAGCTACCACACACCCCCCACAACCAAGGGCAAGTTGTGGCCCCGGGTGGCCGCCACTCGATGGTTCCTCTCGGACTCGACCCTTTCGGCTCCGGTACCTGCAAACGAAGGTGCCGATGCGGTTGGCGTCGGAGCCTCGCATGCGACAGAACATCGCACGTGGGCATTCCCAAAATGGCACCTTGGTAAATGGAACGACTACAACCTGGAGTAACCCTAGCTCTTTCATTGTGACCGCCATGTTTCACCGGTGCCTAAGCCCAGCCTTTGGTTCTGTGGCTAAGGCTAGAATTCCTAGCCCTCAACGGAGTAGAAGCGCCTATCCCAAATTGCCTACGGGCTTTTGGTCAGAACCCCCTCCTGGGCTTTGGGATGGCCTTTAAAGGAAACCGAAAGGAATCGATTCCTCTTCCAAGGGGCGATCGTCCAGATTGGGCAATACGGACTGGCTGATGACGAAGAGGAGGGTTAAGAAGAGCAGCCGGATCTTGCCTCAAAACCCAGGGCGACTCATCTTTTTCGGGTGAGACTCAAAATAAGTATCCTCCTCCCACTAACATGGCACCTGACAGGAAGTCCCTTGAAGAAGAAACTGATCTTCCAGGTACCCTCCCACACATGCTATAGTTAGTGGGAGGAAGGGAACCCATCCCTTTGACTTGTTTTTGTTGCTTTTGATCACGGGCTATTGGCATCCGGTTGCTCCAGAATGATGTTTAGACCTCAGGCGCAAGGACTCAATTCACCCAGTCTAGCCATACGACTTAAAACCGTCACCCAGCTCGACGGCATGAAAACTTCAGCACGAGATTCTCTGCAGGAAGCGCCAGTAGACCAAGTCTTGCCTGCAGGCCGCGATTTTGCGCGTCCCTTCCTTGGCTACTTCCCTCCAAACATACGAATATGCCAACTGGGGAACTCACCTTTTTCCTTTCTTTCCCCTTTTTTAGGAAGACAGGGGTCTCGATTGCCGGACACGCCTGAACTCCCCACCCCCCCCCCCCCGCGCGAATATGTGGAAAAAGCGCTTGACGACTCGGACCGGGGAAGCCATCCCAGCGGCCAAAGCATGTCGCACAGAGTCGCGATCATCGGATGGACGGCCACCTCGGGGTCTTCCAGCTTCACAATGGAGCCCAAAGCCTCCACGCGAGGCGCGAGAGCGCGCTACAGCGTCGCGTGCAAGCGATGGCGGAGTTCTGCGTGCCACTGAGAAAGTGGCGGCTAAGGTCGGCATTTGTTTGCGGGATATCACGACTCGCTTCCTCCAAAGGGCCCCGGAAAAATGAGAGGTTTGATCTTGTCGCATCCTGCCAGAAGGCCAACCAACAAGGGATGAACTTGTCTGACCTTCCAACTCGAGGCCCTCTTTATCGAGCAAGCGGCGCCAGCGAAGTTGCCGTTGTCATCCTGATGCAACCCCGCGGGGGGGAGGGGAGGGGGGTGAGGGGGGGCCATGGAGAAAATGTGACGCATGCTTTAGATACCTGGCTGAAGCTGATTTTGAGTAGATCGGGTGTCTTTGATTTTTCGGTGGATGCCCAAAAGGGTGCCTTTACAAGCAGGGAACAAAGAATTCGACGTATGCAGAGACCATATTCAAGCCGATGACCATTCCTTTTGCTCTTTACCTTTGGTCTTGGGGTGTTGCACGGGTCCTGCTTTGGATCGTCCCTCCGACAGCGTATGGAACTTTGAACCGAACACGGGTCAAGCGGATGAACATAGTCCCCCCACTCTCCACATAGGTGTGCTGCAACTTAAATACCCTGCTTTTTGGAAGGCGCTTTTGAAGGAACACCGAAAGAACAAAAAACAGAATCCGGGGTCTGGATCCCCAATAACAGTGCGTCCTAAACATTGAGTGTCCCTTCGCAACAAACCGAATCAAAGGAACCAACAAAAGAATCTTGGGGGGTCCGTTTCCTATCATGTCGACCCCGAATCGCTCTGCCGCATTAAAGGGGTGATCCCCAAACGTGGCCTGGATCCCCTCTTAAATGCCACGACATAACAATTTACAGAATGTATTCCCTGGCATTCTCATGACACCCCTCGAAACAGACGCCCAAAAATGCAACAACCGTCTTTCTCTGTTTTTGGGGGGGAAGGGGGGGGGGGGGATTTCCTCCCATCATGATGCCACCCTCCATCCGATCATGATCGATCATGATGCCCCCTCCCCAGCCCGCATGAGGTCTCACTTTTTGCCGAGGGTCGACCAGCAGATGCTTCAGGTAGTAGTTCACCCGTCGCTCACCGCCCTCCACCGCGCGAGACCTGTCAGCTGTCAGCGGTCCGGGCACGAGGAAAGAGGGGCGTTCCGGTCCAAAAATCCGCGTCTCAGGGTCACAAAAACGCTCGGTTGAAAGGCAAAAACCCCATGAAGTGGGTCTGTCTAACTCCTTCTGGTGGACTCTCCAACATGGCGGGGGTTCCTTTGGCTTTTCTCTTCACCAACCAAACTGGGTGTCCCTACAGATAGACCCGAAATTCTTCGTGGCATCCGAATTCAGGTGGCAGAACGTCCTGCCGCCACGCGAGACGTGCCTCCAGGTCATTCCATCCAGCAGGGTGATAAGGAGTTCCTTAGGAACACTGGGAACAAGCTCAAGCAACAACCCCCTTGCTACAGGGAACCCCCTCCTTATAGGGAAACCCGACTCTCTTCGCTGGCGGGCGTCACTTCCACTTCCCCTACACAGCACATCCAAGAAGGTGGTTCCCAAATTAGGACAAAACTCGCGTAGCACAGTCAAGGCTCAGCCCTGCCGCTCTTGAACAGAACTGCTCAGGACCCCCCCTTCAAGTACCATAAATATTATAGATATTTTTCGTGGAAACCCAAAAACGGAGAACAAAAAAAGAAAAAGCTTGAGGACTTGAGGGGATGGCTGGGAACCAGCAAGTCCAAAAACATCCATTTCAGTGAAGACCGAGCAATTCGTCCATCCAAGAAGAAGAGGCTCCCGCGCATGGGTAGTGAGGTGCTCCACGATGTCTGGGTGCCTTTTGAAGAGTTCGTCCAGTCCGTAGTAGTACCTCAGATTTCTCTGAAGATCAAATGGCCATGGGTCAAAATCCCGTACCCCCAGTGAACATCCCAATCCCCACTAAAATAGACTAAAATGGGTGGTGCACCTACCCCAAAATGGTACCATTGTTTTTGACCCACAGCCAAATGAGTCACACACTCCAAACCCCGTATTCCAGAACCATGCTTCAAGAATTAAGAAGGCGGATATCCGCAGCTATTTTTGGTTGGGAGCATCCCTTGCTAACCTTCATCTACCCGGGTTTTCATTGTGCTTCAAATCAAAATCTTCAAGCTCTTTGTGTCCGCAGGTGTTTGATGTTGAAAGCTGCTAGTGGGTATGGAGAACTAACCCTCCAGGCGACCTCCAGAATCCAGAATCCCCCTAAGAAACGCCCATGTAACAACCCCAGTGATTATAAATATGCTGTCCCAACCTTTTGTGCACCATGGCTAGCTCAATCCTAAACACCAATAATACATCAATGCCGAAACAATCCTAAGCCAGCATACATGTCACAACTTCAACTAGACGACGAGTGGCCCGGAAGCATAGAGGCAAGTTAGTTGTTAGCGATCAAGTAGTCTAGTCGCGACAAGCTGCACACAGACAGATTCCGCTTTTTGTCACTAAAAGTTGAGGAATTTCATGCACTTCTCAGTGCAGGTTCTCCCTGCTCATCGCGATCTTGCCCACCATCATGTCGCGCGTGTAGATCGAGTGGCTCGGCATGTGGATCTCGATGATGCATACCATGCTTCGGGCGGCTCCAACATGAACAAGCAGGCAGCAAGCAAACTACCGCGATGTTGTTTTTTTTGCCGCGCTAGCTTGAACCAACCACCAGGCGCGTGGCGCGGAAGGCGAGGCGGGGGAGAACCAACACCTGAGGCACCGTGGAGAAACCACCACCACCTGGGCGAAGCGAAACTGGAGCGAAGCTCCTGGACATGCAGGCAACTTACAAAGCGAGGTCTCAATGCAAATGCAGAAGTGTGGCACGGAGGTTGTTCAATCTGCTGATGTTGTCCGGCTTCACTCGGCTTCCCTTGGCTTCACTCGAGTGCAACAGCGTGCAGGCAGCACAACTGCTCAAGCATGTTATGTAGGTTGTTCAATCTGCTGATGTTGTCTGGCTTCACTCGGCTTCCCTCGGCTTCACTCGACAGGCAAACGTGGAGTCCACACTAAGCGCTCAAGCATGTCACGCAGGTTGCTCAATGTGCTGATGTTGTCTGGCAGCAGCGAGGAAGATCGCGAAGCGCATGTTAAAAGATACGGCGGCTGCATGCTGCGCGCGAAGCTGTGCGTGGCGCGGTGTGTGATGCTGCGCGCGATGCTGCGCATGACGTGGGTGTGACAAAACAAGACTAAAACATAACACAGCAATAAATAACACGCGCCACATGCCCAGGTGCTTGAGAGCCCCGCCGCGCGTCAAGCCGGAACATAGGAACTGCTCCGCAGCTAACTCTACGCGGCAAAGGGCGAGAATTGCTCCGCGCCAGCTTGAACCAACCACCAGGCGCGTGGCGCGGAAGGCGAGGCGGGGGAGAACCAACACCTGAGGCACCGTGGAGAAACCACCACCACCTGGGCGGAGCGAGACCGGAGCGCAGGAAACTTACATAACGAGGTCTCAATGCAAACGCACAAGCGTGTCATGTAGGTTGCTCAATCTGCTGATGTTGTCCGGCTTCACTCGGCTTCCCTTGGCTTCCCTCGGCTTCACTCAAGTGCAACAGCGTGCAATGAGCACAAAAGCTCAAGCATGTCATGTAGGTTGTTCAATCTGCTGATGTTGTCCGGCCTCACTCGGCTTCCCTTGGCTTCCCTCGGCTTCACTCAAGTGCAACAGCGTTCAATGAGCACAAATGCTCAAGCATGTCATGTAGGTTGTTCAATCTGCTGGTGTTGTCCGGCTTCACTCGGCTTCCCTTGGCTTCACTCGAGTGCAACAGCGTGCAGGCAGCACAAATGCTCAAGCGTGTCATGTAGGTTGTTCAATCTGCTGATGTTGTCCGGCTTCACTCGGCTTCCCTCGGCTTCACTCAAGTGCAACAGCGTGCAATGAGCACAAAAGCTCAAGCATGTCATGTAGGTTGTTCAATCTGCTGATGTTGTCCGGCTTCACTCGGCTTCCCTTGGCTTCCCTCGGCTTCACTCAAGTGCAACAGCGTTCAATGAGCACAAATGCTCAAGCATGTCATGTAGGTTGTTCAATCTGCTGGTGTTGTCCGGCTTCCCTTGGCTTCCCTTGGCTTCACTCAAGTGCAACAGCGTTCAATGAGCACAAATGCTCAAGCTGCTGATGTGAGTTGTTCAATCTGCTGATGTTGTCCGGCTTCACTCGGCTTCCCTCGAAGAGCAAAACGTGGAGTCAGTGCAAGCGCTCAAGCGTGTCACGCAGGTTGCTCAATGTGCTGATGTTGTCTGGCAGCTTCTCTTACCAACTTTTCGAGAATTACTTCGCCTGTCGCCTATGTTGCTTCCGGGCCACTCGTCTGCATGCTGCGCGCCAAGGTGTGCGTGGCACGGTGCGTGACGCTGCGCGCGATGCTGCGCATGCTGTGGCATATGATGCTGCGCGTGAGGCTGCGCGTGGCGGACTTTGACTCGAGCGTGCGTCGCGCCGGAGTTTTCCGCCTGCACACAAGCAAGAAGCAAAAGCCCAGAGCGCTCGTGACTCGCTCGCATTGTTGTTGCTCGTTGCGTGCGAGGCGGCGCCTGCTCGTTGCACTCAGCAACAAGCCGTGCATCACTACCTGCGCGCTCAGTCTCTACTCACTCACGAGGTAATTATGCTGACCGGAGGAGTCACAAAGATCACGCTCGCCAAGGTCGTCCTTGCAGTCGCCGAAGTCTGACCGCCAAGAAGTTCGACTTTGCTCCACCGCGTACAGAGCCCACAGCACGTATCTCCGATGACGCCATGGACGAAGGCCAGGGCGCTTCTCGAGCAAGAGGTCAATTGCGCTCGCAGCAGAAAAGCCGTAGGCTACAATGAGCCACGCGCACAGCGCGCCAGCGCTGCGGTTGATGCCGCCAAAGCAATGGAACAAGACTTGCATATCTTTCTTTTCGCAGACGTGAAGTTTGGCCAACCTCCAAAGCTGGCAACAGAGGTGCTTCCAATGCGTGAAGCAGTCCAGAGCACACTGCCGGAGCTGGTCCGCGCTGTTGCGCGGCTGCTTTACAGTCCAGTCCTCTAGGTGTCCTTGGAGATGACGAGCGCCAAGGTCTGCGAAGTATTGGCGCCAGTCCTGCGGAGTGCCCCGGACGGTCATCTCCCGGCCACAAAGGGTGACCACTACGTTGACGCGCACTGCGAGCCAGCTGTGGATGTCCGCCAAGGAGCAGGCAGCTTTGAGGCATCCCAGCAACACATTCTGACTTGCGTTCTCGGAGTGCACGACGCAGGCATCCAGCGGCCAGGCTTCAATGCTCTTGAAGCTATAGTCGTGCTGCCACACTCGGCAGTCCAGGTCCGACCAGGCGCTGCGGTTTTTGAAGCAGCTGTCGACGGCTCGCTGGCGGTCCTCTATCCATTCCTCCAACTCGTCGCATGGCGCAGGCAAAGCGCAGTCCGACATGGTATCAAGCTGCGCCATAGTCTTGCACCAGAAGCTGCTGACGGCCCCTGCACAGCATCCAGTCCGCATGCGCTCCAGCCCTCGTGTGCCCTCGTGCTTTTTTCACAGCCGCCTGTCAACATGAAGTTAGCGCCCGGGATTCGCAAAGAGCACGCCTTCCTGGTCGCGTTTCAAATGGTGTGAGAAAGGACTCGAAGCTACTACTACTACTAGGTCTCCTTCCGAATTTCCCAGCGTCCGCTTTTGACCTTGGAGGGAGTTTGCGCCACGAGGGCGTCAGCCGGACGCTTCGTCGCCGTGGTCTGCGCGGAGTCAGCCTGCAGCTCCACGACCAGGGAGCGCTCAGCAGCAAGGTTGTCCACTTGGCCCTCGTCCTTGACACGAAACATGCGCTCCACGACCATGGTGACCTTACCCGCTTTGTCTTCGCGAGTCAGCGCTCCGAGAAGTAGCCGGGGAGTCCCGTCGGACATGCTGTACTGCAAGCACTGGGCAAAGCTGCACATGGCTTCCACGCAGAACTCTTCCTCTGCAACAGCCGCGTCGACAGGCACAACTTGGGCGTGCTGAATCAAGACGTGCTCGTCGCTCTGATCGCCAAATCAACGCAGCTCGCCTGCGTCCTTTGCACGTGCCAGGATGGTCACAAAGGCCGGGAAGATCACTGCGCCGTTGACCTTGATGCCCATGCCGGAGTAGGACACGTCAGTGTACACGCTGCTAACCGGACACACGGCCCCTTCTGGCCTCGACCCGGCAAGGCGCAGCACCTTTTTGATCATGGGGCGGCTATGAGCATCGTAGGCCTTTCCCAAGCACGGCTGCGCCGCCAGGACCTGGAACTGACACTCTGTCGTGCTCGAAGCCTTGCTATCGGAGTCTTGAGAGTCCTGCTGGGTCGTAGCAGCAGTAGAGTCTGTCGCAGGCCGATACTTGTTCATGCTGGAGCTGGTGGCCAAGCGAATGTCCAGCTGAGTTCGAAAGCACAGCCCCTCGGGCCCCTCTTTGTCAAGGATACGCAGCAGTGCCTGCTTATCCTCAGCAGCCGACAAGTCACACAGCGCAGCTTCGCCAACGAGAACACGCTCCAAGCAGCCCGCGTGGTCAGCAATGTCCAAAGTTGCAAGGACAGCCACCTCGTCATTCGGCGTGGAAGCGCAGCCCTCAGCCTTCTTCTTGCAGGCCTGTGTGCTTGCATCAATTTTGGTGCGGCAGTGCTTACAAGGTGTATAGCTGGGGCTGCCGTGCACGTTCGTCACCCAGATGCCATGCAGCACGACCTCCACAGCGGCTCGGCTCGGTCTGTCAGCGCATGAGTTCTAGTCTAGCACTACAGGGCTGTCACCCAACTGCAGACAAGGGGCTCCAGGAGCTCGGTCCTGCATAGTCAAGGGGCAAGCAGCAACGGTCGCTG